TTTCTTTTGAAGACGTTTTGCTTCTCATCCAAGAAGCTTCTTCAGCTCTGACTGGATGGTGGGGAACGGAAGGATTTATACTCCCTTGCGGACACAGCTGGTCATTTGCATCCTTTTAGAGGGTTGTTGAGGCCACCTGGAGGTTTACCTGTGTCCTCAGAGTCACCTGAGTGGTGCAAATGGGTGTGTGGAGCCTCCTTGGAGCTGCTGAAAGGACTGCGTTGTAGTCACATTTGCACTACTCAGGTGACCCCTGAGGATACACAGGTAAACCTCCAAGTGGCCTCAACGACTCTCTAAAAAGGATGCAAATGACCAGCTGTGTCCGCAAGGGAGTATAAATCCTTCCGTTCCCCACCATCCAGTCAGAGCTGAAGAAGCTTCTTGGATGAGAAGTGAAACGTCTTCAAAAGAAACAAGAAAGTCCTGTTGCCTCTTGAAAAAAAAAGCACCTTTGGGTCAACCAGGTTTTTTCTTTCTTTTCCCCAATGTCAGGTGTGTGGTGGGACAGAGGTCTGTCTGTCTGGATCTTGACAGGATCTTGACCTGTTTGTTTTCAAGAACTTTGTCCATTTCAAGAACCATATTGAATAATAATTATTATTATAAAAAAAATATTATTATTTTTAAAAAAAGCCCCTTTGGGATTTCAGGCTGACACACCCTGGCTTCACCTGCCCTGCCCTCCCCTCCCGACGAACCTTTACGGCCACTGGGGTGCCATCATGAAGCCAAGCCCGGTGCACCTGGGCCAAACTGGCCGCCGCAATGGGCTGGTAGTCGAACTCCAGGAAGAGCTGGTCTGCCCTGGCGCCGAAGTCCTCCAGGAAGAGATCGTCCACCTGCCGCCAGGAAGGGCCAGAAGAGAGGCGGAGTCAGCAAGGGCCGTGGACGAAGCTACAGGTAGCCCTCAACCTATGACCAGTGTGAGATGTCACTTCAGGCCTGCTGTGCTTCGCTCTTATGCAGTGAGAGACTTGCCATGAACGGTGGGATGGGAGTCGCTTGGGAAATCCAAAGTAAAGGTTGTACCATCTCGAGAAGCTGCCTCAAGATCATTCAGCTGGGAGGAGGAGGGACTAACTGCTATGAAAATGACTTGATTGGTTACACTGGGGCGGGCAGCAAGGCGTCAGCTTTGGAAGCCATATTGAGATCTGAGGCCACAATTGAGCCTGGGAAAGTGGGAGGAGGGGGGAATTCATCGGAGTATATCGAGTTAAGACATAATAAAATTCTTTTTCTGATTCAAGGTCATGTTGTGTTGCACCTAAGTGAGGGGAAGTCTCAAGCTGAGACGGTTGGAGATTGGGTGCATGTGATGTGATGATGGGTGCAGGGAATGGATTTTGTAGTTTTTGCTTATTGCAAGGAAGCCCGAAACTTTCAGATTCGGGATTCCACACTTGTGCCAGTTACTATCCAAATAAAAAAGAACTTTTGAGAGATGTCTGTCTCGGAGTTATTGGGTGGAGTATAGGTTTGGTGGAACGCTGACATAAGGGACAGTTGTTGGGAGGGGAGTAGAACTTAAGGATTTTGGTGCGCAATTCCTCAGGTTTGGCTGTGCAATGTTGCAATATACTTAACTTCTAATAAAACTGTATGTCATGCCCTTGTTGGAGTCTGACTCCAAGGGAGAGATGAGTAGCTGACAGGGAGTGGGAGTGTGGCTCCAGTGGTTGTGGAGGAAAGTGGGGAAGGGCACAGGACGGATGGGCATTCAGAGGAAGACCCAGGCCCATCCCCTCTTCATCCTAGGGCAAGCAGGGAGGAGCGGATAAGGGAGAAACATAAGTGGGGTGGTCTATGGGGAGGAAAGGGCCCTGATCCCCTTCATGGGCTGTAGCTGTGAGGACTGTTTAAAAGGGCAAACTGCGCATGGCAAAGTTGCTGGAAGCAAAGCATGCATTATTGTCGGAGGTTATCTGTGCTTTGGCTTCCTCCCGGCTGCGTTATCTGGTAGAAGTCTGCAATTCATCATCCTTGCCTGCCGTAGTAATTCCTTCAGTGTGGTTTGTGTTGGGTTTTTTATTTTGAATTAGCTTTACTTTGGGTGCAGACGGCATTTATTCCCTCCATAAACTGTTTTCTTTAAGAGTTTGGTTTCCACCCGAGGATAACTGGATATTGGGGCCGAGTTGGAGGCATTCAAGGGATTTTTTTTCTATTTTTGTGACTTGGTTATTTTTGTGTCATGCCCCGGGTCATCACACTGTAGCTTTCTCAACCAATGAAGCTACGGATCGTTTCTATTTAGAGGCTTATGTTGTGGCCACTCGCTTAGCAAGTGTTCAAAGCGATGGCAGAAGCCCTACCAGGGGGCTACAGGTAGCCCAACTAACAACCGCAATTGAGCAAAAAGAGATCACTTGCTAAGGGTGACAATGACTGAAGTTTTGCTTCATTTTGCAACTTTCCTTGCCGTAGTTGTTAAGTAAATCATTCTACGGGTAGTGACCGTTCAAAATGACAATGGCACTGAAAAATGTGAGTTAGGACTGTTTGTCAGAGTTACAATTTTTGCAGTGTCTCCAGGATCACATGATCAAAAATCAAGACGCTTTTGGCAACTGATTCATACTTACAACCGTTGCTGTGTCCCCAGGGGTCACGTGGTCCCCTTTTGCGACCTTCTGACAAGCTAAGTCGATGGGGAAGCTAGATTCGCTTAACAACGGTGTTACTAACTGGAAAACCGTGGTGATTCCCTTAGCAACGATGGTAAGGGAGGTGGCAAAATGGAGGCAAAACTCGCTTAACACGTCTCACTTAGCAACAGAACTCAAGCAGCTACGTCGTTCCAAAGAGGAAGCCTACAGAAAAGGTGACAGAATGCTATACAACCAGGCCAGAAACGTATTAACAAGAGAGATCAGAGCAGCAAAAAGAAGCTACTCTGAAAAGTTAAGGAATCAGTTCTCAACAAATGAACCAGCAAACGTGTGGAAAACTCTTAAAAACATCATCGGTTACAGCAAACCTCCGTCCCAGGCAGAAGGAAATCAGCAACTAGCAGATGACCTGAATGTGTTTTACTGCAGGTTTGAAAGGAAACTTCAGCCACCTATCTCCACAACCCACATCTCAAACACACCAACAACAGCCAAGCCTCCTACAACTGGCCCCAATCCATTGGGTTCACAACCTCTGGTGATCGGAGAAAAAGAAGTGCAAGATCTATTACACAGACAGAAGCCAGGAAAAGCACCAGGGCCAGACAAGATAACTCCTTCTTGCTTAAAAGTCTGTGCTGACCAATTGGCCCCCATCTTCACCCGAATCTTCAACAGATCCCTAGAGATGTGCTATGTTCCTTCCTGCTTCAAATGTTCTACCATCATCCCAGTGCCAAAGAAGCCCTCCATCAAGGAACTGAATGACTACAGACCAGTTGCTCTAACATCTGTCGTTATGAAAACCTTTGAAAGGCTTGTGCTGCCCCACCTGAAAACCATCACGGATCCGCTGTTAGATCTGTCTCAAGGTTGACTCAGCCTTCGGTCCTTCTGAGGTGGATAAAATGAGGACCCAGAGTCAGACAAGAGGCTGACTCGGTAAACCACTTAGAGAGGGCTGGAAAGCACTGGGAAGAGGTATAGAGGTCTAACTGCTAATGCTATAATTCATATTCTCCAATGGGACACCTCCATAGCCCAGAGTCATCAATCGTACTCTCCAGATGCAGCAGAAACTTCAGTCGCCTAGTTACTATCTTTGAAAACTATTTATGGAATGCACTTTCCAAGCTGCCACACTGCTCTTTCAAACCCCTTTCCCTCCCTCCCTTTCTGTTGGCAACTCTAAAAGGACCATAGAAATATTTTATGAGTTGACACTGTGGCTGCTAACGGAAGGGACTGTCCCGACCCAGGCTTCGTCAAACGTAATTAAAGACAAACTTGTTTTAAAAGCACAACCTATTTTAATGCAACACTGGGAATTGCTTTCATTCCCAGCCAAAAGTAATCTTAAACAGTTTCCCAAGATAAGCACACGCCTTTCAGTGCTGTGGAATGCTGCCAAAAACAGAAGTATCCAAATTAATTATAACAGGAACCACCCAAAGTACCAGAAAAACAGAGAGCTGACCAGAATAGAGAGAGCTTCAAGGAGGACTCGGAATCTATCGAACGACTTTGCTTCCTGCATAGGTTTCTCTACCTTTGCCTGTCCTTTATACCTTATGGGAGGTGCAATCACCTCCCAGCCTTACTCCTGAGTTGCCCCCGTTGTTTCAGCTGCTCTCACCTTCTAGCAGCTCTGTGCATGTGCCCACTGGGAACAGGCTCCCACTGTTCCTCTGCCTCGCTGCTGCCAGGCTCCGGAGGCAGCACCCGACTCCCAGATGGTCGTGGCGCCATCACTGCCTCGGACGCAGGACCCTCGTCCGAGTCCTCTCCAGACTCCCTGACTGGTCCCCTCTCTTCCCCACTGTCCGATTCTGCTGCCGGCTGCACCGACGAACCACAACAGGGACGTCCCTTCCCTACTAAAGCTCAGCTCCCCTTCTCCGGGGCAGGCGACCGAAGGAAGAGCCCGTAAAAGAGGGAAAGACCTGCTGACACACACACACACACACACACCGCAAGATCCCGGTCTGAAGCCGAAGCAGCCCCTGCCTGCCCCACTCACCTCTGAGTAACCCCGCCTGAGCGCCTGGTCCTCCAAGGAGCGCAGCGTGTTGATGTACTCCTTGGGCAGGAGGTGGTTGAAGGCACACAGGCCTTGGCCCAGCTTGATGTAGAGACCCCCGTTCTGGATGGCCCCGAAGACGATGCTCTCGGCCGAGCGCTGGTGGCACCTGGACACGGCGGCCACGTACTCCGGGCTGTTCTGACCACAGGGAAGATGGGCGAGGAAGGAGGAGGTGGTTAGATCCTTCCCAGAGGACCTCACGTCACCGCAGGTGCCGACACGGGCAGCCTGTCAAGCTGTCCCCCCCTCTCCCCTTCCACTCCCAAGAAACAGGGGCGGGGCGGGAGAGAGAGAGACTATCCTGGGAGATCTGTAATTTTGGTCACCACACTATAAAAGAGATGTTGAGACTCTAGAAAAAGTGCAGAGAAGAGCAACCAGGAGGATGAGGGGACTGGAGGCTAAAACATACGATGGACGGTTGCAGGAACTGAACCCGCCTCGTCTAGGGAAGAGAAGGACCAGGGGAGACAGGAGAGCAGCCTTCCAGTATTTGAGGGGCTGCCACGGAGAGGAGGAAGGGGGTCAAGCTATTCTCCAAGACACCCAAAGGCCAAACAAGGAACAATTGGATGGAAACCGATCAAGGAGAGATTCAACCTGGAAGGAGGAATTTTCTGACAGGGAGAACAATCCACCCATGGAACAGAAGTTGCCTTCAGAAGATAACAGGTAATCAAGAGTTGGAAGGGACCTTGTAGGTCATCCAGTCCAACCCCCCGCCCAAGCAGGAGACCCTACACCATTTCTGACAGAGGGCAGTCCGGTCTCTTCTTGAAAGCCTCCAGGGA